GAATCCCATCATCATTTCACCCATCTTCCCCAATTGTTTATTTTAGAAGGACTGAGGCCTTTAGCTTCTTGGAATGCCATTCATATAAATAGCCACACATGGGCCAACTGTGTCGTGTAATACAAACAATATACGTCATGTAATACAGAATCGTTCTCCCCTGAGAGAATCTGAAGCTAATTGGAAGGTTACTAGGTAAATAGGCTCTCCTTCCTTAATCAAATCTTGTTTGTGCAAATGTTAGAAAAACTCATGCCACTAATATTTTAAATTCAAATCCCACTCAAATCTATTACTATACTTTTATTTTTTTTAATACCCCAGTGAGATTAGTAGGCCATTTTTGGTATACACTTACATATATGGGCTTATTAAGATCAGACCCTATCTTGAGGCTCCAAGTTAGAAAGAACAATGAGCAGATTATCTAAAGAGATGAGCTCTGGCCTCAGCTTTGCCACTAACTAGCCATCCAAACTTTAGCTAATAACTCTCCCTTTCTGGCCCTCAGTATTTTTTTTTTCTGTAAAACAAGATACTGGACTGGACAATTTACAGGTTTTTCACCACTTCTGAGATTCAGTGAGTTTAGATTCACAGACATGTTTCAAAGGCAGCCAACTCCACAAAATGTATTGTAAAGTTGGAAATATATTGGCTTTTCAGTAAAACAAACTTCAGTCTGAATTTGGATTTACCACAATCAGTGTTACTTTCACCTAGTTGACCTCTCCAAGCCTTACCTTCCTTGTAAAAAGGAGGTAGTAACACTAACCTCATATGGTTATGGTGATAATTAAATAAGAACACATAGGTAAAGCACATGATACATGATAGCCTCTCAATAAATGGTAGCCATTATTAACAGCTACTGGTATATAGGCTAGACCATATTTGTACATTACTTATTTATAAATATATTTCTAGCTTTCAAAATAAACATGTAAATATTTTATCTAGTAAATATGCTTTTAAATAAAAATCCTATATAATAAAAGACTAATATGCAAATTGTCCCCTCTACTGGGAATTCAACCAGGAGTTCGACCAAGAGTTCAACCAGGAGGCGGGGCCAGCCAGCCAACTGCCCATGGCCTCTCCCCGCCCAGGCAGGCCCAGCCCAATTGGCCCCGATTAGGGTGGGCTGACCAGACCCCGCCCATGCACAAATTCGTGCACTGGGCCTCTAGTACATAAAATAAGATAATCATGGATCTTCTCTACTTCCCCAGTCAAAGACTAGATTACCAAGAGTGTAATTACTATTTTAGCAACCTGATTTACATATAAGGAAACCAAAATTATATGACCAGTCCAAAATTGCACAGTGAGTTAATGACAGAATTGAATCTAGAGCCCAGGTCAACTCATTTTCAGATCAGTAGATTTTACACACACAACTGATACACTTTAGACTAGGCTGTACTGTTACTAACAGTTTGTGGTGTCAGGCAATAATAGTAATAATAATAATTTTCATTCACTCTATTACTTAGTTCATCTGGGCAAGAAGAGCAAAACAGATTATTAGAAATCTGAGTAACTCAAGCTAAAATATTTTTTGCTAAATTCTGAGGCAAAATAGCCAAATAAAAACACGTGGGTAGTTGCAGAAAAGGAGGGCAGGTTAATATCAATGCTTGCCACCCCATATTTAACCTTGTTCTTCTCCAGTTAGTATGACCGCCTGAAGAGTGGGTGCCATTCTATCAAGCCTGAAACCTATAATTCATTTTTTGTCTTTTTTCTAAATTCTTTATTGTTTAAAGTATTACATATGTCTCATTTTTTCCCCATTGACCTCTCCCAGGCTGCTCCCACCCCCCAGCACATGCCCTCACCCCCCTATTTTCTGTGTCCATTGATCATGCTCATATGAATGCATACAAGTCCTTTAATCTCCTACTCGCCCTCCCCTGCCTTCCCTCTTAGGTTGGATGGTCTGTTCGATGCTTCCATGTCTCTTGCTCTACTTTTGTTCCTCAGTTTACGTTGTTCATTATATTTCACAAATGAGTGAGATCATGTGATATTTATCTTTCTCCATCTGGCTTATCTCGCTTAGCATAATGCTCTCCAGGTCCATCCATGCTGTTGCAAAGGGTAAGAGTTCCTTCTTTTTTTACCGCAGTGTATTATTTCATTGTATAAATGTACCACAGTTTTAAAATTCGCCTTTAATACCTTTATACTTCCTCCTTTTGCCACTCCTCCTTTCTCCAAAGGTAACCAAGTCCTTGAACTCTATCTTCTAAATTTCTCTTCACTCTGTTCAATTCTTTCTACCCCCTCTGCTAGGTCATAATCTTTTCTCACCTGGACTACTACAACAATCTGCTAACGATCTCCATTTGGCTTTTCTTATTCCTATTAAATAAATATATTATGTATAGCCAGTTGATATTTTTAAATGAAAAAATGTGAACATTTATGTACCATTATTATGTGTCTCATCTTGTGTACCTTTTTTCCCTTGAATCACTAATTATTTCATTTTGATATGACCAATTTGCTGTATAATTATTTTCATTTTTTGGCACAAACACTATTAGATGTTATGACAATAAATATAATTTCTCCCAAATAATAAAATATGTCAGATTAACTTACTCAAAAACATTTACAGAATGTCTATTATGTCCTAGGTACTAGGACTACATGGTGAACAAGATAGACAATATCCCTATTTTCAAGAAGTACATATACATATATAATATATTGGAACATATTACAATAAGTATGTTAAATGCCATGATGACTAATTTAAAAGGGTTTCTAGCTAGATGTAGTGGATTAGACACTCATGTTTATCTATACATTACATAAAAGGACTATTTTAAAGGCATATGCCATAAGGTAAAAGAAAAACAGGAAAGAATATGAGAACAGCAGCGTTTTAGGAAAAGCAAAGCAAAAGAGCAAATAGTAACTTATTAGCAGACCCAAGACACCTAAATCCTAAATCAGCAGTGAGAAAATGAACGCTATAATTTGTACCAGTGATCTAGCAAGAGGCTCTGAAATTGTCAGCATCAAGTCAGAATCAAGTACTTCTGTAACTGAGATTGAAAGTGGAGCCAAAAACATGTGAATTTTTTGAAAGGTGGTTTCTGAAGTAATTAGGCATCCGAATCCACTCTTTTATTCTTCACATCTGGGAGATTCTCCTATATACTTCCCTCTCACAGAAGACCAGAGACTTATTCTCTGATAATTAAAATAGAAGGTGTTTGGACAAGCTGTCTCAGATAGAACTAAAGGTGAGATTAGGTGAAAATCGAGCTATATCCAGTATGTTGAGACCATCATACATCTTTTCGTACTTGGTTCCCAGAAACCTATAGCTGAGACTTGTAATCCCCAGATAGAATATTGGAAGATTATTTTCTGAGAGAATCTGACCAGACTTGTAGAAAGTTACCGAAAAAGAATTAGAAGTTCACCAATGGAAAGGATACAGCCAAATTATCTGAGAGTAGGGCCTACCATGACAAAAAATTTTAATCAATCTTTTTGTGTCCCATTCAAAATATAACCAAATATTTAAGGATCTCAAGACATAAATTATATATATATATATATATGAAAAGATCAAAAACAAGGGGGAAAACAAATTAGGGGAAATGGATTTCAGGTAGATGAGAACTTTAAAAATCATTAAGTTAATCAGAAATGATAAAATATATTGTAGTCATTAAATAAGAGCAGTATAAAAAATTATGACCTGACCCTTTCACCTACTCTCAAATGGATTTTTATCATCTATTATTTATTAATTGATCTTGAGGCTGAACTAAATCAATACAGTTTATGCTGTCTTCTTAAAGGCATCATATTTCTTGGAACTGAAATGTACTAAGGGATTTATGACTACTACCCTTAAACAATCTTGGTAAATAGTATAAAAATTAGACATCATTTCTATCAGGGTTTAAATAGGTAGCAATAGGGCCAAGAAAGGGAGATTAAAAGGTATCCCAGTGTCTCATAATGTCCAACTACTTGTGCCAAAAACATGTTTCATAGTTGTGCAATAAAAAACATTTAATAAAGGAATCCTCGTAAAAAAGATAAATAAGAACAGTATATTATAAAATAAACATTAAATAAAAACTCATAGACACAGACAACAGTATGGTGATTGCCACAAGAAAAGGGTGTGGGGAGAGGTAGAAGAGGGTGCAGGGGGGATAAATGGTGATGGAAGGAGACTTGACTTTGTGTGGTGAACACTCAAGACAATATACAGAAGATGTATGATAGACTTGTACACCCAAAACCTATATAATTTTATTAAACAATATCACCCCAATAAAGTCAGTATTTTTTTTTAAAAAGCTGTGGATATTTTAAATGACAACAGACATAAAACTTAAATAGAAGTAGTGGAACATGCTGTTGAGAGAGTCTCATAAAAATGAGAACAAAAACAAAAAACAAACAAACAAACAAAATACAGACAAACAAACAAAATACAGAGATAGAAAATTTTAAAAAATGTATTTAGAAAATTGAACTAGGAAGTCCAATGTAAGAAAGATAGGTTTTCATGAAAGAAAGCAGAGAAAATTATTAAAAACACACACACACACACACACACACAATTATTTAGGCCCTGGCCAGCTAGCTCAGTTGATTAAAGCGTCATCCTGCTATGCCAAGGTTGTGGGTTCAATCCCCAATTAGGGCGTATACAAGATACAAGCAATGAATGCATAAATAAATAAGTGAAACAACAAAGCAATGTTTCTCTCTCTCTGTCTTTCAAATCAATAAAATAATAATAATTTAAGGAAAAGTCCTAGAACTAAATAGTTTCCAGATTTAAATGAACAATTCAGTACTCAGCAAGATTAATAAAAGTAGACACACATTAAAGCATGCCATATCCTATATAATACTAGTAAACGCCTAATATGCAAATTGTTCCACCGGGAATTCGACTGGGAGTTCTACCCATCCCTATGACATGCGCTGACCACCAGGGGGTGGCGAGGAACATGGCGGGCGTTGGTGACACAGCGCTGGCAGCGAGCAGCAGTGGAGGCACTGCTGGCCCTGATGGGGCCCTGACAAGAGCAGAACCTCGGCATGATGGTAAAGCAGGTGAGCAGGTGGCACCAGGCCAAGGCAGGTGCGAGTGGGGCCATTCGCCCTGCAGACAGTGACCAGCGGCAGCGGCAAGGGGCAGGGTTTTGATAGCCCTTTATACGGAGACTAGTAATGGCGGCAGTGGGCCTAGCCCTGATTGATCGCCCTGCAGGTGGCATGGTGGAGCAAGTGAGGGGGCGGTGCCAGACCACGACAGGGTGCCAGGCAGGGCTGCGGGGTTGCAAATTTGGGGGCACGAGCTGGGGCTTTGAGCCTGGGTATGCAAGCTGGGGCCAGATTCCCACAGGCCACCCAGAGGGACCTCACCAGTGCATGAATTCATGCACCAGGCCTCTAGTTGAAATATAAGTACACTGAAAACAAAGAAAATATTATATTTGAAGAACAGAAGTTGAGTAGGGAGGCAAAGATGAGTAAGGGCCAGAGAGAGAGATGACCATAGTCATGGCATTGCATACAACCACTGTATCCAATCCATAAAACTCTGCTTGTTGTACCCTAAAAGGACATCCAAAGATTTTATCTACCTCCACTGTACCATCTTAGTACAATCCATTATTCTCTTTCTTGTGGAGAACTACAATAACCTATAATTGGGCTCTCTGACTTCACTTAAGTCCCCTAAAGCCCATCCTCTAGATAGCAGCCAGAAGCATCTTTGCAAAGTGCAAACCAGACCCCTTTTCTTCCATTTTTAATCCCCTCAATGGCTTTCCACTATATTTAAAATTATATCCAAACTCTTCACCATAGTATTCTGGCCTCTGAATATCTTTTGACATTGTCATGTGTCTCTCTCACTATTTTCAACCACACTGATTTTTCTTCATCTTCTGTGTATATGCCCAGTAAAATTCCAACTTAGGGTTTTTGCACTAGTATCTGTCCCTAATTTGCTATCGTTTTTTCATCACTCATCACTTAGTTCTCAGCTCATTTGTCACCTCCTCAGAGAAAAATTCCCAAATCATCTTCTCTAAAAGCAGTCACTGACCTATCAATTCTCTATTTCATTTTATTCATAAAAGTTATTACCAGCTATGACTATGTTTTAAATTCATTTCTCTATATACTTACTATCCATATTCACCCACTGAAATATAAGCACTACATGGCAAAAAAATAAATAAATTTGTCTTTCTTATTTATCACTGTATCTTCGCACCTATAACAAAACATTGAATGCCATAAATGCTCAATAAATATTGCTTGAAATAATTTATGAATGAATTAACCATCAAGAGATCATAGTCTGATCCACAAGAGACCCACCTCAGAACAAGGGACTCAAACAGACTGAAAGTGAAGGGATGGAAAAATATATTTCAGGGAAATGGGAAAAAAACTGGGGTAGCAATACTTATATCTGACAAAATAGACCTCAAAGTGAAGGCCATAAGAAGAGATAAGGAAAGCCACTTCATAATACTAAAGGGATCGGTACAACAAGAGGATATAACCCTGATAAACATATGCATCAAATGCAGGAGTACCCAAATACATTGAAAAAAAACTCCTGGAAGCTGTCTAGGGAGAGATTGACAATAGTAGAATAAAAGTAGGGGACTTTAATACACCACTTACATCACTGGATAAATCCTCTAGACAAAAAATCAGCAAAGAAACAGCAATCCTAAATGACCCACTAGATCAGATGGTCCTAATTGACATCTTCAGAACATTTCACCCCAAAGCCACGGATATACATTCTTCTCAAGTGCACATGGGACATTTTCAAAAATAGACCACATATTGGGTCACAAGCAAAGTCTCCCCAAATTCAAGAAGATTGAAATCATATCAAGCATCTCCTCTGATCACAACGGCATAATATTAGAAATAAAGTACAATAAAAAAAAATTCAAACACTTGGAAGCTGAATAGCATGCTATTAAACAATGATTAGGTTACCAAAGAGATCAAAGAAGAAATTTAAAACATCCTGGAAACTAATGACAATGAAAACACAACAATCCAAAATCTATGGGACACAATGAAAGCAGTCCTGAGAGGGAAGTTTATAGTTCTACAGGCCTACTTTAAAAAAGAAGGAAAAATGGTAGTAAATCATCTAACTCTACAACTAAAAGAATTAGAAAGAGAGCAACAAGAAAAACCCAGAGTGAGCAGAAGGAAGTAGATAATAAAGATCAGAGCAGAAATAAATGACATAGAGACCAAAAAAAAAAAATACAAAAGATCAATGAAAACAAGAGCTGGTTCTTTGCAAGGATAAACAAGATTGATGAACCTCTAGCCAGGCTCACCAAGAAGCAAAGAGAGAGGACCCAAATAAACAAAATCAGAAATGAAAGAGGTGAAATAACAACAGACCCCACAGAAATACAAAGGATTGTTAAACAATACTACGGACAACTCTACTCCAACAAACTAGACAACCTGGAGAAAATAGACATATTCCTAGAAAAATACAAGCTTCCAAAACTCAATCAGGAAGATTCTAAAAATCTCAATAGGCCAATTACTATGGAAAAAATTGAAAAAGTCATCAAAAAGCTTCCAGCAAAAAACAAACAAACAAAAAACCTGGGGCAAGATGGCTTCACAGGGGGAGTTTTACCAAACATTAAGAAAGAACTAAAACCTATCCTCCTCAGACTATTCCAAAAAATTCAAGATGAAGGAACACTTCCAAGCACATTCGATGAAGCCAGCATCACCCTAATACCAAAACCAGATAAACAAAACACAATGAAAGAGAATTACAGGCCAATATCCCTCATGAACATAGATGCCAAAATCCTCAACAACATTCTAGCAAATCGGATCCAACAGTACATCAGAAATATCATACATCATGACCAAGTAGGATGTATCCCAGGAATTCAAGGATGGTACAATATCTGCAAATCAATAAACATGATACATCACATTAACAAATTGAGAGATAAAAATCACATAGTCATATCAATTGATGCAGAAAAAGCATTTGACAAAATCTAACACCCTTTCTTGATAAAAACTCCCAGCAAGGTAGGAATAGAAGGATCATACCTCAACATAATAAAAGCCATATATGACAAACCCACAGCCAACATCATACTCAATGGGAAAAAACTAAAGCCGTTGCAATCAAACAAGAAGAAGAAATAAAAGGTATCCAAATTGGAAAAGAAGAAGTAAAACTGTCCTTATTCACAGATGACATGATACTGTACATAGAAAACCCTAAAGACTCCATCAAAAAATTATTAGACTTATTAAATGAATTCGGCAATGTAGCAGGATACAAAATTAATGGCAAGAATTCTATGGCACTTCTATACACCACTAGTGAACTTACAGAGAGAAAGACTAATAAAACAATCCCATTTACCATTGCACCAAAAAAATTAAGATACCTAGGAATAAACTTAACTAAGGAGGTAAAAGACCTATATGCGGAAAACTATAGGACACTGAAAAAAGGGATAGAGGAAGACATAAACAGATGGAAGAATATACCATGTTCATGGATAAGTAGATTCAACGTCATTAAAAGGTCCATACTATCCAAAGCAATCTATAGATTCAATGCACTCCCCATTAAAATACCAATGGCATATTTCACAGACCTAGAACGAACTTTCCAAAATTCATCTGGAATAAAAAAAGACCCCGAATAGCTGCAGCAATCCTGAGAAAGAAGAACAAAGTAGGTGGGATCTCAATACCAGATATCAAGCTGTATTACAAAGCCACTGTTCTCAAAACTGCCTGGTACTGGCACAAGATCAGACATATAGATCAATGGAATAGAATAGAGAACCCAGAAACCGGCCAAAACCACTATGCCCAATTAATATTCGACAATGGAAGCAAGAGCATACAATGGAGTCAAGACAGTCTCTTCAATAAATGGTGTTGGGAAAATTGGACAGATACATGCAAAAAGATGAAACTAGACCACCAACTTACACCATACACAAAAATAAACTCAAAATGGATAAAGGACTTAAACATAAGATGGGAAACCATAAAAATACTAGAGGAATCCACAGGCAATTCCAGACATATGCCGAAGGAATTTCTTCACTGATACTGCTCCTAGGGCATTGGAAACTAAAGAGAAAATAAACAAATGGGACTACATCAAAATAAAAAGCTTCTGCATAGCAAAGGAAACCATCAACAAAACAACAAGAAAGCCAACTGCATGGGAGAACATATTTGCTAATGTTATCACTGATAAGGGTTTACTCTCCAACATTTACAGGGAAGATAAACAATCCAATAAAAAAATGGGCAATGGACCTAAATAGACACTTTCAAAAGAGGACATACAGAAGTCTGAAAGACATATTAAAACATGCTCAAAGTCACTGATTATATGAGAGATGCAAATCAAAACAACAATGCAGTATCATCTGACACCTGTCAGAATGGTTATCATCAACAAATCAACAAATGACAAGTGTTGGAGAAGATGTGGAGAAAAAGGAACCCTTTTGCACTGCTGGTGGGAATGCAGACTGGTGCAGCCACTGTGGAGAACAGTATGGAGTTTCCTCAAAAAACTAAAAATGGAGCTCCAATTTGACCCAGTGATCCCACTTCTAGGAATATATCCCAAGAAGCAAGAAACACCAATCAGAAATTCAAGATTGAAAAATAAATAAATAAATAAATAAATAAATAAATAAATAAATAAAATACCAACAGCATATTTCACAGACCTAGAACGAACTTTCCAAAAATTCATCTGGAATAAAAAAGACCCCGAATAGCTGCAGCAATCCTGAGAAAGAAGAACAATTCTCTATTCTATTCCATTGATCTATATGTCTGTTCTTTTGCCAGTACCAGGCTGTTTTGAGAACAGTGGCTTTGTAATACAGCTTGATATCTGGTATTGAGATCCCACCTACATCAACAAATCAACAAATGACAAGTGCTGGTGAGGATGCAGAGAAAAAGAAACCCTTGTGCACTGCTGGTGGGAATGCAGACTGATGCAGCCACTGTGAAGAACAGTATGGAGTTTCCTCAAAAAA